GAACAAGCTTAGCAAAGCACAGGGACCGCGGTTCAATCCCCCAGCACCACATGCCAGCCAGCCAGCCCCGCCCCCTGGTGGGCTGAGCTGGCCACACACACACACAAATAAAATTAAAAAAAAAAAAAAAAGACCCTATATCCAATATGTGAGTAAAAACAAAGACCAAAGGAAAAAAGGCAGGGATGGAGAAGGGTGATCCATACACAGGCAAGCATATATGGAATAATCTTTTACTTTCTTGGTAGGTAGGACCTATGCTTCCACAAGGCCTTGGGCTCAACTGCCAGGACTCCCAAAAAAAATCACTATCCTATCTCCACAGTCACCTTCTGAGACAGTTGAGGGTAAAGACTTGAGCATATGGTGAGGGTCGGGACTCACTCCACAAGACAGCTATTACTAACAATGTCCCTAGAAATTATCAGAAGCCAAAAAAGTCTAAAACCACATGTCCCATAGCAACCCTCAAAGGCCCCCTCCCACACACTGGCCATCTGTGTCAGCAAACATGGTGATCCCACTCTAATATGTGCACAGGGCTAGGCTTTTAACTTGCACTTATACATGTCCTGGTAAGGTCCTTCCAAGTGCAGCACAGTACCTTTGCTGAGGAATCTTTGGGCAGTTTTCCATGTTGCTCAGAGCCAGACATGGTAGCAGGTGCCTTAATCCTAGCATTCGGAGGTTGAGGCAGGCTTTCTACAAATTTGAGGCCAGCCTAGGATAGTGAGTTCAAAGCAAGTCTCAACTACACAATGAGGCTATCTCAAATAATCCAGTAAAGTTTCAATCAGGGTAGGCGACTTTCTGATTGAGACCTGCTCTAAGTAAAAAATACAAAGGGTTGTAGTTTAGTGCAAAGTCCCTCTGCACAATCCCCAGTACAAAACAGAAGAAAATGGGGGTGGGGAGGGGGAGAGGAAAGGCATAGCTTCCTGATCTATTTTCTTTTTTATATTTATTTTTTCTGACTCTAATGTATTTACTGATCTATTATCCTCCGGGGTCCAGAGAAGGAACAGGGCCTTAGGCACTGAGACAGATCTCACTCAGGAGCCATTTTCTTTTTTTTTTTTTTTTTGCAGAACCAGGGATTGAACTCAGTTCCTTGTGTTTGCCAGTCAAGCACTTATCCTACTGAGCCATCTCCCCAGCCCCACGGGAGCCATTTTCAAGATCAACTCTGTATGTCCTATTTAACCCAGTTTCAAATCTCACATCGTCACCAATACTTGCTTCTTGAAAATGTTTCTATTTGGTACAGGGTCTCACTCCACAGCTTGGCATAGTGATTCTCCTATCTTAGCCTCCCCATCACTGGGATTACAAATATGGGCCACCACATTGTTTTGGTGACCAGCACCATGTCCACAGGGTTTTGGGGCATGTGTGGCATGTAGTGGGAATCAAACTCCGGTCCTTGCACTTGCCAGGCAGGCACTTAGACCACTGAGCTATCTCCCAGGTCCCTAATGCTTGCCTTTTATTACTAAATGTTAAAATCTCCAACTGTGATTAAAATTGCCTCTCATCAGGCATGATGGCACATACCTATAATCTCAGCTCTTAGCACTCACCGAGGCAGGGGGGAGAGGAGCTCAAAGCCAGCCCAAGCTACACAGCAAGACCCTCTCTCCAAATAAAATCTATAAACAAAAAATTGGTTCTCTTTAGCTCTGTTGAGTTTTGCATGCACATGTAGGACTGCCGCATCTTCTACAGGCATCTGTGACATTCTGCATTCTGAGATGTCCCTCTATTCTAGATCTACTTGGTGTGCTCTAGTGCCACCCATTCTGCTTGTTCTGCACAAGTTGAATTACAAAGAAATCTAGTGCCAGGCATTAAAACCCGGGTAACAGACCACTATACCCTAAGCCATCTTATTACTTTGCTACACCCCAGCCCTATTTTTAAGACAAGGTCTTGCTCCAAAATAAAGGACCTAATCAATAGATGGACAATCGAAAGACAGGTCCTTCAAGAGCATAGGTGGCCAATAAATTTTTTAAAAAAGTTCATCAGTGAACATTCGCTGTTTACATATAAAAAACCTAAGAAGGAAAATAAATTATAGGTGAGGGTTATTTTTTTCAAATGGTAAGGTAAACCTAGAAAGGGAAGGAAAGGAGGGAAAAGGAAAAAAGCATTGAACAAAAAATAGAAATGGAGCTTTTGTGAATAGAAAGGTGAACAGGAGATTGAGAGGAGGGGAGGAACAACAACGAAAAAAAAAAAAGAATTGAGATGTACCACTTGCAAGGGCCAACTCCCCACAATAAATACAATCATTAGGTACTACAAATCCGTAACAAAGTTTGCCAGGCACAGTGGCCCAAACCTGTGATCCCAGCACAGGGGAAGCTGAGGCAGGAGTTCAAGGCCAGTCTGGACTACACATCTGACCCTGTCTCAAAAACACAAAAAACTAAAAAACAAAAAAATCTTTTAAAAAGATAGAAGATTGTCCAAACTGGCTTTGGCCTGCTTTAAGCCTCCCAAGAAGCTGTGGTCACAGGCACGTGCTATATTGCACCCAGCTGGCTTTGTACTATTTAAAAAGTTCAAAGCTGGTGTGGTGGCACACGCCTGTGATTATTGCAATCATAACCCTAAGGATCACTGCAAGTTCAAGGCCAGCCCTCCTCCATACAAGAAAGGGAAGCTAGAAAAATCCATTACCAGGTACCTGCATGCTAGCAGTCACCCCAAGGGCCCCTGTCCCCCACTTACCTTGTCTGGCTGTCAGCTAGGTTTCAACAGCCCACCCCAGCCCAGCTCCCATCCTTCCCAGCTGTCCGGCTCTCTTCATAGGGTGGCCCCAGCCTGTGGCAAAGCTCTCACCAATGATGGGACTCATTCTGGAGGCTAGAGGAAGGCAAAGCGCCCCTGGGCCTGGCAGCCCCTGGTCCCTGACACCGTAGCACACATGATAGAGCCAGATACAGCAGTATATATCCATTTAACTCCAGTACTCTGGGAGGCTGAAGCAGAATTCATCAAGTTCTGCTGTCTCCAGAACACAGGGTACCAGAGTGAAACACAACGACTCAGCCTGGATGTGGTACCACCTGCTTATTTCTAGCACTGGGGAGACTGAGGCCAGCCTGGGCCACAGATTTCATCGATTCTGGGCCAGCCTGAACTTAAATATACCGTTTTTTAAAAGAGGAAAGGGAAAGACCCATTGTTCACCGCTGCATCAGGCTCCTGTTCAACCACCCGCCTGAGCCCTGTCACCTCCAGCCTTCAACCTCCCTGATCATGGCCTTGTGCTGCCACCTGCTGGAAAAGCAGCAGAAGTGATGACAACCATTTGCTGCTTGCACCTGTTTTCCTAAGATGGCTGCAGAATCCAGGGAAAAAAACAGCAGGGCAGAGGCACAGGAGCAGCAACCTCCTCTTGCAGCATCACCCATGGCTAGGATCAAGTTCACACCAGAATCCTGACACTGAAGGATCTGGGGTCAACTTTCTTCCTGTGTCCAGGGTGTCCCAGGCAAGACCTCAAACCCTACTCAACACAGGTCCCCAGCCACACTTCACACCAGTGACAAGCTACAGCCCTAAAAATTGTACATGGAGGCTTTTTAACAAGAGTAGCTCAGGATCTGAAAAAGGGCACAGAGTTGGAGACCCTCAGGATTGCAGGCTTCCAAAACTACAAGAGCCAACGTAATCCATGAACACAGGAGGCTGAGCTAGTTCAAGGCCAGCCTAAAATAGATAGGTAGACCCTGTCTCAAAATCTAAACCCAAAACCAGCACTCTGGGCCCTTTTGGGTGGGGTGCCAGGAGTAGAGACGTGGGACTGCAGTGAGCTCAAAATAATGCACTTGCTAATCTCTGCACAAGGTCTAAACCCAACAGGGCTCAGGAGCAGAGACAACCATGGCATTTTCTGGGTGACAAGTGCCAGGTCTAGATACAGTGGTGCTCAAAGCCAAGACTGTAACTCAGCCTTAGCCAAGAGGCCTGCCTGTCCCATTTGCAAGCTCCCTGCTCACCTTACTCTGGACGCTTTGGTTAAGCCACCGTGCCACCTGTAGACCCAACAGGTATGCCCCGCGCAGTACTTTTAACTTAGTACCGCCTTGGCTCAGGACACCGCCACTCAGCCCACAGGGTGCCTATTAACTGCCAGCTCCAGCCCAGACTCTTACCTGGTGTAATCCAAAAAGGGTTTTGGACTGGCTGCCTATGTGAATTCTAGACAGCTTTGTGACCACACCTACCATTTTCCTATCCTTCTCAAGTGACTTCCAACTCAATAAGGCAGAGCAAGAGATGGACAGAGCTGCAAGACGGCACCCAGCGCCAGGGCTCCACAGGTCCCTCGTACCCAGTGTGCACAGCTCTGCGCCATGTTCCACTGCTTGGATCTCACAATCCTCCCATGCCAGCCCTTGGCTAGCACATACAGGCAACTCATCATCAGGTGAGGTGGGGATGCATGGCAGAGCTGCTTTTCACCATATTCTTCAGTGGCATCCATGACAGAAACATTTTTTTAATAAGCCTGGCACCAGAGCTTAGGACTTGTAATGTGTCCTAAAATCCCTGGAAAAAAAAAAATCTTAAAACATTCTGCTTTCCTTTACAGCCCCCAACACACACAAAAAAAACTATTTGTAGGAAAAAAATGGTTTTGTACATGGGATGAAACAATATAAATTCAAAACTTACAGATCAGGGTTAGCTCTTATCACTCATCTCTTTTAAAAAGTTTATGAATCTCCAGTCAAAACCAACAGGGTATGTCAAGTACACCTCTCCTGAAGTGTGATCGCTACACTCCCAAGCAGACCACAGGATGCACACCACCTGGAATGTCCTCAGAAGGCTCTGTCATCGACAGGTAACAGAGTAAAACCCCAGAGTCCTTTCTTTCCAACAAACAGGTATAGATAGGGACAGAAGGGACTATTCAAACTTCGTCTTCTTTCCTTGTGGCTTGTGGTCTCCACCTCCTCCCCGGCCTCCTCGGAAGCCACCTCGCCCTGCAGGGGGAAGGCAAACAGTGAGGCACAGAGCTGCTGGACATCTCTAGGGTGAGTAAACGGGGCAGGGACAGCTATCCTTACCTCCAAAGCCTCCCCGGCCTCTGCCTCCGAATCCACCTCGGCCACCTCTGCCGCCACCCCGGCCCCCGAAGCCGCCTCGGCCACCTCCACGGCCCCCAAAGCCCCCTTCGCCCTTAGGTTTGGCCCAGTCCAAGGTGACTTTGTTTCCATCAATTTCACCATCTTCCATGGCCTCTTTGGCAGCCTTGGCATCTTCCTCAGTATTGAAGTCCACAAAACCAAACCTGGAAAGGCAAGAGAGGACCATCATGACATGCACACTGAGAAGTGCCACAAGTCACAGGTGAGCCAACAGAAGGGGCCTCAGATTAAATGAACAGCCAGAGTGACAGCTACATGGAAGCCCCACTGCATCACCCATGTTTAAACTCAAGCGTGTTTCACAGATCAGCTACGTCCACCTCCACCAAAACAGAGGCTGAAGCAACACTGGCTCTGTGATGTGCTGTTCTTCTCGTGCGAATCCATGACTGCCACCAGTGACAGACAGGAGCTCAATGAGAAGGCGCCAGGCAGGCCTAGCACAGCTCGGCCATCCTTACCCCTTGGAGGAGCCAGTTTCCCGGTCGGTGACAATCCTTGCTCCAATGGAACCATCAAATGATTCCTTTAAGGTCTCTTCAGTTGTTTCCTCAGACAAACCCTTGACGAACAAGGTTTTAGATGGCTCTGGCAAAGAAAAATAAAAACTGTTACTTGAAGCCACAAAGCAGTGACACTACCAGGCCCAGCATGCTTGTTTCAGGAGAAACAGTTAAATGAACCACTAAACGGTGCTTAATTAAAGCAAAAGACTTGTACCAGAAGCTGGGGATATAGCTTGGCAGTACAGTGCCTGCCTGGCAAGTACAAGGTCCTGAGTTCAATTCCCAGTAAAAAAAAAAAAAAAAAAAAACCTTGCACCAATAATGTACCATTTTTATTCTGGTACCAGAGATAGAACACTGGTGCTTTACTACTGAGCTACACTACTCCCAGGCCCCCTTTCCTTGAGCTACAGCCCCAGCTGTCTAGGCAGGACTTGAACTTATGATTCTCCTGCCTCAGGTCGGTCCCCCCCCATACTGGGATAATAAACTTGCACTATACTTCTCTTCCATCAGCACAGGAGTTCTGACCTGCTCCATTTCAGACTTAGGCTTCACCCCTCCTTAAGTAACCTGGTGGTTACTTTGCTTCAGGTCACCATATTGATGCCAAGACACTCAATCTGCATAGCACACTGCAGCTCAGAACTCCTAGACTTACTCCATCCTCCCACCTCAGGCTCCTGAATGTGCCACCTGGCATTCTCACTAATACAGAGCTGAGCTCCTGCCTCTGTTCTTCTAGGGAAAACAGAAGCTACAACAATAGCTAGTAGCTGCCCAGCAGAGGACTGGCAGCAGCACAATCACTGCTGAGTGATGCAGCTGGATCAGAACTTGACTATCTAGAGGAATTTTCTTGAGATTTCATCAAGTTTTTTCTCAGGTAATCAGTCATCATATCCAGTTATCACTCAGCAACAACAGTAGGAGTCGCCCCCAGATCTGTGAGGAAAGCACTGACAGAAGTTCCAGCAAGTGGAGAAAGGTACCACCCCCTCCACAAATCTCAGTAGACTCACGGCTTCTTGCATTAGGTGACCCCCTAGGTCCTTGCAGCTCCAGTCTGATCGTTCTGCCCTCAATTTCCCTTTTATTGCAAGAGTTCAAAGCTTC